CAACGGGGTTGCTGTGTCATGTCACGATCTAGGTGTCCTGCATTTGCCATTCCGATGCTTGCTGGGCAGTGCACACCAGTGTGCGCTGCTCTGTCGCTAGACCGAAACACACGTGCTTTGCCAGGAGCATAGGCTTTCAAACACACTGCTGGATTGCAGGGGACTACCAAAACACAATTAGCCAGACAATACGATGGTCTGCATTTTTGCTGCTAGCCATGTAGCCGAGAGCACCAACAGCTGCTGCTGCTGTTTGTGCTGGGGCTAAATATAGTGCAGGAGGTGATACGGAGGATTTCTAGGGTACGCGCAAGGCACCACATCCTTTACTGCAGCCAAGTGCACTAACAGCTGCTACCGTTGGTGCTGCTGGGGCTGATGATATTGCCGGAGGGTACGCACAGGGGGCCACACTCTTTGCTGCAGTCAAGCGCCATCTCTACGCAGCGGCTTAAACCGAAATGGAGAGGATCCTTCAGCAAGCTGCTCAGTAACGTGGCCGTGCTGGCAGAACATTGCGCCAGCAGCATCAAGCATTCCACGGCACCAAGCAGCAGGTAGCAGTTGAGCTTCTGCTGCTTCTTACCGTGCTTGGATAAAGCCACGGCGCTGAGCAATGAAACTGCTTCGGCACGCCTCTCGCTCAACTTAAAATCAGAACAGAACTTAAGCCAGGCCGCCGGAGGATCATCGGTAAAGTCTGCAGAGGTGATGGCCCTGTGTGGGATTCTGCAGGAGGCGTGAAAACAGAGTGTCAGCAGAGCCTTGACTAGCTGCACGGGTTCACCGAAGCGAGGCCATGCCGAGTGCACTAAGACACGCATAATGGCCAGCGTCATGAAACGACAGTTTTCTCCGACGCCTTCCTGACAGCCCAAGTGCGACGGAAGAAAGCGGAGGATACGTTGGGAGTGGCGCACTACCTGCAGCCCCATGCCCGATACAACAGACAGAATATTCTCGAGGTAGATAGTACGAAGCTCCGAGCTGGTCTCGCCGGCCACGCAAGACAGAAGTTGGCTCAGGTAGTGGTCCAGCGCATTCCAGTTCATGCCTAGCATGCGCGGGCACCGCGGAGAGCCGACAATGATTCGTACCGGAGAGGATACGACTCTGGCGCAGGATCCATCTTCGCAGGAGCCCATAGCCCTGCATAGCGTGGCATGCAGTGGTAAGATAACGGCCAGAAGATCGCCGTTATGGCTGTATGTGTGTCGCTTGGTTGCATCGTACAACACCGACAGGCGGTTGTACCGCTTCAGTTCGGCATCACTTGCGCTGTTGACAAGACGAGTCAAAGCATCTGCGCCGCGTACTGACACCTCTAAACTAGCCTCGCCGTCGTCTACAAGTCTAAGCAATAGTGCCATGAGGACGTCTAGGTTCGTCTGTAACGTGATCGGCGAGGCAAGCACAGCATACCACAGCAAAACGTCGACTGATTGTGGATGGTCACGCCACGTTTCCGACGTCAGTTGCCGCTGGAGACCATCAAGAACACACTTACCCACACTAGATTCAAGTAGACCAGTGATGCCATCAGGAGTACATACTTTGCAGAGCAGGTTGGTTAGTTCGCGTGCCGTGTCCCTTGCCGCCTCTGTGGACCAGGGGACGTCATCGTCGAAGTAACTGAAGCACGCATACAGAAGTTTCGGTGCGCACCGCTGTAGCGGCTCACTCAGCACAGCAGTGGTTTCACAAGACAGGAGACGGCAGATTACGTTCTTGCAGATGGTCAGGAACCGGCCTGCATACTGCCTTGACCAGGAACAGGCCTGCTCGTCGGCTTGGCAACTAAGAGCGGACTCGGTACTCGGCAAAGCAAAGTGCCCGCATAGCATGTGGCAGAAATCACACGCTGCTTTTACACCTGCATTAAATGCTTCAGGTCCTGAGTGGTCTGGTGAAGTGCATATCTTGAAGGCTTCGCTCCAGCTCGTGAACTCATTCATCAGGCTATCTGTGTCTGCATCGACATTCGGACATCCACACGAGGACTTCTTCCACTGATACTCAAATTTCGTGGCTGCATCAAGCACTGTAAGCTCTCCTTCACCTCCTACACATGTACCAGCCATTGCTGAAGATGGCACCAAGGGTACTGAAAATGGTCAGAAATAAGAAGTCAGAGTCTTGCCGTAAGGCAAATGCAGTGGAAATACCGTGGCGGCAGTGGCTTTGCTTCTTATCCAGACGAGACTAAAGTGAACGAAGTCAGACACCATTTCCACTTCCACATGATGGAGACGATAAAATCCGTCGTGTGTCACACGTACAATACTACAGCCTGTACAGGAGCTAGGAGAGAGTGTTTGCTTTCAGGAGTTCGACTTCTCCTTTTTAATTTTTGAATCAAACACTTGAAACAGGAACGAAAAGCACAAACAGACCGAGTCATGACGCCATCTACAGTTGCCATGGTTTTAGTGCTGTGCATGACACACACTCACACATGCACAGTGCAAAATAATCATGAGTCATGTACGATTGTCGATTGATCATGCATGATGTCACAGTGCACCTGTTACGGCCATTCAAATCAAAACTCTTTCAAAATCTGTCGTGCCTAGTAGCCGGAGTCCACATCCCGAGTCTGAAATCAATCTATCTAAAAGTACATGAGCAGTCGCGAGTCCCAGTGATTGTTTACTGTAAACATGCCGCCGTGTTGACCAAGGACCAAGATGCCAGAAAGAAGAGTAGTCAGCCTTCATGATGGCAGCCAAATGCCTACTGTTGGTCTCGGAACTTGGAAGGTGAGTCTTTAAAAAAGACTGTTTTTCAAATGCATGGGGAAAGCACTGCACTACAGTAGTATGCGGCTCATGAGAGTTCTTTCGCGTGACCAGGTGACGACACGTCGAGAAGTGAATGCTACTACAGTACTGGAGAAATGCACGGAGTAAATCCCACTACAAACGCATACTAAGGGCATATTGATAGCTACTGTAGCGGACATTGACATCTGTTGAGAAGTCAAGCGGCCACGGGGCACTAGCCTTTCAGCCGCGAGCACTGCCGGTCCATATCTTAGGCTGTCGTCACACTACGGTACAAAGCGCTGCGTCTACATCCACGTCAGGAGTTTCTGGTCGGTTGTCATGATATCCATGTGAAAACGGGAGCAAAAACGGGAAACGTAGCCGTGGGGGGGGGGGGGATATATATATATACCCAATGCTGTAGACAGCAAGCTGTTTCGGCCATAAAGGCCTCATCAGTACAGCTACGAGCTAAATAGGCCGAGCTACCAGCCATGGTGCAAAGGAGGCACCACAGACATTAAGATAGCTCGTCGCTCTAGCGCCAGAGTGCTCAAACTACAAAAGTAGCGGGCATTGCGCGATGCAGCAGCACTAGAGCAGCCTACTGAGAGTGCTCAACAAGGCGAAAGCCGAGGAGCGTGATACCCAATGCTGTAGACAGCAAGCTGTTTCGGCCATAAAGGCCTCATCAGTACAGCTACGAGCAAAATAGGCCGAGCTACCAGCCATGGTGCAAAGGAGGCACCACAGACAATAAGATATATATGAATGGTTTGCTGAAGTAACTACTACAAGTGTAGTAAATATGATGATATCTTTGAAGTGCTACATTTACAGAAATACAATGTACATGTACATGCGCAACAGCACTCAATCTCCGCCGGACAGCTAGCTGTTTTGACCCTGTTAGTGTTAGGTCTCGGCAGCGTAGCTCAGTGTGACTTTTTTGTCTTTTCTCTTTACCCCCCTCCCCTTCTTCTTCCCCGGAAAGGGAGATGTAGTGTCAGGCGCGTAGCACCGCCGTTGGCGGTGGTCCGGCCAGGGGGGGGGGGGGGGGGGATGTCCCTCGCGGAATTTTTTTGAAATTAGGGTGCAAAATCCTGCATTCTGGACACTTTTGGCATTGTTTTGCTATGGTGGCCGTGGTCGGGCGAAAAAGTGGTCCGGCGAAAAAGTGGTGACCGGCCGGAGCGGCTGCTACGCCCCTGAGTGTGTAGTGTTTGTGACAGCAGTGTCTCTCCCCTGTACTGTATTTTGTGTGCACATTCTGGACTGTTGTCATGGTAGCAGCTATGAACAAAATGGTGAGTGTGATGTTCTGTGTGTTGTTTGCAGGCCGAGCCTAGCAAAGTTGGCAATGCTGTGTCGGTCGCCATACGCGAGGGGTATCGGCATATCGACTGTGCAGCCGTGTACGGCAATGAGGGCGAGGTCGGACAGGCGCTGATCGAGTCTATGCAGTCGGGTGTCGTGAAGCGTGAGGAAATGTTCATCGTCTCCAAGGTATAGTGCAATGAACTTGTGCATCTGTGTGTGCAGGGTGACAGTGTGTGTACATGTATGCTAGTGTGCCATGGTGTAGCATGATGCTGCATACTGTAAATATACAAAATTTCGGCGCTGCAAAATTTCGGCACTTCACGATTTTTGACATTTCGGCAGCGATTTCTTTTCGGCGTGGGGTAGAGGGCATGGTATAGTGCGACAGATGCTGTGAAAAATTTCATCGGCGTTTTAATTTAGGCGTTTTGGGTCGGTGCCGAATATAGCCGAAATTAAATAGCTGCCGAAAATTTGTATATTCACAGTAGTGTATATGTATGATGGTGTGCTCCCCATGTACCATGAACACTGTACCATGAACACTGTACCATGAACACTGTACCATGAACACTGTACCATGAACACTGTACCATGAACACTGTACCATGAACACTGTACCATGAACACTGTACCATGAACACTGTACCATGAACACTGTACCATGAACACTGTACCATGAACACTGTACCATGAACACTGTACCATGAACACTGTACCATGAACACTGTACCATGAACACTGTACCATGAACACTGTATATGTGCAGTGAAACCTGTCTAAGACAACCGCTCAAGGGACCTTCAAAACGTGGTCTCTGTTGCCAGGTGGTCTCCGTATCCAGGGTCATTTGAATGGAAATAGCATCCCTTGGTACTGGTTCCAGTGGTCTTCTGGAACAAGTGGTCACCTTATCCGAGTGGTCGCCTTGATAGGTTTTACTGTATGTTGGTGCGCTCCCCATGTACCATGTACCATGTACCATGTACCATGTACCATGATGCACATCGTACATGTACATTGGTTTGCGTATCCGGAACGCCTTCCGTAGCCCAGGTAGGCCGCACTAACTCGTGCCACCCACGTAATTTCCAGCACACCGACACATTGCTACAACGGACTAACACTAGTTTTACAAGAGGAAACTAAATTCTTAGTTATTATAATTTATAATGCTGAAGAAAGATCAGGAAGAGCAACTAAGTACTTTAAAAGGCTACAAAGAATGAGAATAACTGAAGGAAGCAAAAAAGACGCGTGCAGTGTACATAATCCCATCTCTAGCAATTGCTAATCAGTGCGCAGGGTCACCAGCAAGCGATCACACATAAATCTCTAAACAGCACCGATCAAGTCAAGTGATGTGTAGCTCTGTGGAACAAGCTTGCTCCGCAGCACATGGTGTGTGGCTGTCTCTCCGCTTTGCATCTGTATCTGTTTCAGCTATGGAATGCAGATCACCAGCATGCGAAAGTTAAGCCGGCACTGGAGCGGTCACTGAAGCTACTGAACGTAAGCATACACACTGCCCTCATACTCTGTCCAGTGCACTGATGATTGATTCTGAGAGACTCCCCAACAAGTAGCCATTTGCTTTTGGTTTTGGAAAACCTTCTACTAACTTACACCAGTCCTGTACAACCCTGCATACTGCAAGTCAACAAATTTTTGGGTGCATATTTATTCTCGGCTATTTTCGGCCTGATCATATTTAGCTGAAAATCTGTTGCAGCCGAAATTTGTTTTGCAAGGTTCAGTGTGACAGTGTATACAGGCAGCAGCAGTACACGCCGGAAATGTGTTCAGCCCTGGGACTGAGGCCGAAATTTGAATGAGCAGAAAATTTGTCGACTTACAGCACATGCACATGGTCATCTGTACAGTACAGCAGGCCATGATGTTCAGGGATGAATTTACTGTCAGGTTTTTGCATAGCAGTTTTTGCTATGCAAAATCTCAATTGTGGCGTAAGCTACAAAAAGGCATGGATAGCCTGTATGTGTATGTATGGCAGTTTTCTGCGTGTCACTGTGATTTTTGAGTAGCAGTAGATCGATTTGGCGTAGTAAACTGCGATGCGATACAGGATAAATTCATCCCTGATGTTGATAAGAGTATCATAAGACTAACATGTTAGAAAGCATTGACATGCATGCGTGTGCCTCTCTTGTCTGAGTCACTGCATACTTGCTGTGTAGTAGCTTGGAATTCTCATCTACTGTGGGCAAGCTTTTATTCACTGTGTGTGTGTCTGCACGTGTGTGTGTGTGTGTGTGTGTGTGCATGTTTGTGTGTTTCTCCATGGATCGTTCTCTCTTGCTGGACTATGTGAAGTTAGACTACATTGACTTGTATCTGATGCACTGGCCACTTGCTATGCACGTAAGTGCTGTACAGTCATGTACTAGTCCCAGGCAGTAGTTATGCTGATCACGGTCATGTGTGTGGAAGGTATTTTACACACAGGGTACGGTTCAGGGGCGTCAGAAGGTATTTTTGTGTGGTGCGGTCAGCTGTCTGAAGTACAATTTACTCGTGCGGGAGGGATGGCTGAGCCGAACATTTTGGAAATTTAGAGCCCAGATGACGGTGTATTTTATTTATTCACGGGGTACCTGGCGCAAAAAGTGGTACGTCAATGCCGTAGTTACCGTACCGTGTCCGACGCCCCTGCGGTTTAATATAATTAATTATTGAAAGCCAGACGGAACCTTTTGTCAGTGTCACGCTGGGTGCTGTGCAAGGCTGCAAGCACTGGGCTGTGCAGTGGTGCAGGGCGCTGTGCAGGCCTAGACCTACCAAAACTAATGGGCTGTGCACTAGTGCAGGACTCAGTACAAGCATGTAGAGTGGCTTTTTGCATTGCCTGCAACGTGTTAGAAGTATGCAATGCACTGTAGCCCATCCTGGGTAGGCTTTACCTTTGCTTTGCCAGATTCTTGATGTGTAAATATGAGAACTGCATGCAAGGATAGCGGCCAGCCTGGCAGGTCATGTTCAACCTGCTGATCAGCACATGCTGATAGGAATGTGGTTATGGGTGGTGGATGTTATATTTCTGTATTGCAATACTGCCAGTTGATTAAGATTTGGCGCTCACTCCATTTAGCACGCACTCCTTGCCTAACATGGACTCCTGACTGGCATGGCATGTGTATCGAGCTCAGCGCAGGCTACATGCACAGTCATGGTCAACGAAAACCGACCCGCGAGTCAAAAGTAGCGCCGCATTTCCATTTCAATGACATCATGCATGTTCCCGCGGGCCGCATGAGCCTTGGCGCTGTTTTCGGCACGTCGATCGGATTTCTTTGGCGACTGTACTTGACGAGTGTGTGTGCTCTTACGCACTGCGTGATTGTCGCCACTTGTGTTGTTTTCCTCTCTGGGATTGGCTAGCTGTGTTGTCAGTGTAAGTTATCACCAGTGCACAAGGTGTGAATATCTTACACCAGCCTGGTCTCTAGCGCTAACTTATAGCAGCTTGTTGTGGACTTGTCATCAGGCATGAGAATGATAAACATGGGTGTTCAGAAGCACCTCTCTTCTTTTCAGCATTCGAAGAGGTCCTCTTGGGTTGTTTGCTTGAAGAAAAAAAAGGTTCTTGTCTTTTTCTCGGACTGTGTAGTTTTGTGCTTTGTTGTCGCACTCGCTGACTGTATTACCGGTATGATCTGGTTACTTTGGTGGACAGTTAGTCATAACTCGTAACAATTCGTCCTCCCTTTTTTGTCTGATTCTCGTCATTATTATTTTTGTCCCAATAGTGGATATCCTATAATTATAGTACTTATTATCCCTATTTGGAACTGAAGGATGTCTGGAAGAGCCAACAATAGGTGGCAAATTGCCCTCACATGGATGAAGCATGCGTATAAAGCAGAGCATTCATGATCTCTGACATCATCTGGATAACTCCTACGCCCGTATTTCTCTACTGTTTGCTGTGGGGCAGGACGATCGATCTCTGAATTTCGACATACATTTCATGGAGACGTGGAAGGTAGGCTTATTCCTGTGTTCTGCTGATGGTAGATACTAGTACTGTCAAATTGCAGTGTTTGTCAGGTACTAGTGATGTGTTGCTGCAGCTGTGTGGTTTGACTATCTCCTGCCCTGTACGATGTACACTACTCAGCTGGATGGGAGTCCTGGCCCTGGCCACTGAGTTCTTTCATGTGCACCTTGTTTCTCCGTGATAAGGCATGCCTTTATACTGTGATAAGGCATGCCTTTATACTGTGATAAGGCATGCCTTTATACTGTGATAAGGCATGCCTTTATACTGTGATAAGGCATGCCTTTATACTGTGATAAGGCATGCCTTTATACTGTGATAAGGCATGCCTTTATACTGTGATAAGGCATGCCTTTATACTGTGATAAGGCATGCCTTTATACTGTGATAAGGCATGCCTTTATACTGTGATAAGGCATGCCTTTATACTGTGATAAGGCATGCCTTTATACTGTGATAAGGCATGCCTTTATACTGTGATAAGGCATGCCTTTATACTGTGATAAGGCATGCCTTTATACTGTGATAAGGCATGCCTTTATACTGTGATAAGGCATGCCTTTACTGTGTGTATGTTCACTTGATGTCTTTCAATCACAGCTATCCCGTACACTTCCCTGTGAACTGCATCCAACCACATTTTAGTTTCTCTGTGTCAGTTGCACTGAGCCGCAGTGTGTGTTCAGTTTACCCTAGCTCTGTATTATTATGAATAATTATTTATGATTGTGCTCTATATTCATTTTCTAGAACACGGATGCTCCACTGCAGCCAATTCATATTATGATCAGTCACCACCACCACCACACACTACACTTTGTGTAGTGTGTGGTGGTGGTGTGTAGTGTGTGGTGACTGATCATAATATGCTCTATATTCAGCTTCAAAATACTAGGCAAAAGGGACAAGGTGGCAGTGGTCTCCTGTAAAGAGCGCTAATAGTATGCTGTGTTCCTGATACAGAATACTTACATGCCACTGCATTGTAATTGTGCTGATGTTGTGGTAGTGGTGGTGTTGTTGTTGTTGTTGTGCTGATGTTGCTGTTGTGCTGGTCCTGCATCCTGCATCAGGCGATGGAGGAGTTGGTCGACTGTGGTCTGGCACGGCACATCGGCCTATCTAACTTCAACCAGGCGCAGATTTCCGAAGTGCTGTCCTCAGGCAGGATCCATCCGGCCGTTCTCCAGGTGAGCGTTGCAGAAGGCGACGAGTTTCCAATCTTGTTGGCGTATGTTGGTAATGCCTGAGGTGTGTGGATGGCTTGTTAAGTGGCTGAGCAACACCTTACAGAAACACTCACTTGCATAGAGATTCATACATGTACTACTGTGCAGGTAGAACATTTCGTCGGTCAATAATTTCGTCCAACTCCAAAGAAAGGGAGTTCGTCCGGCTGTAAATTTCGTCCATGGATCATAAGAGTGTATTGAGAAGCTGGACAAATCGACGTTAGTCCGGCATTTAATTTAGTCCAAAAGCTCCTTGGACGAAAAAGACGAAATTAAATTCCAGACGAATATTTCTGCTTATACAGCATGCATGGGATGATACATGTGACTATGCATGGCCGTCAATTTGAGAAGATAGGAGGACCCCTTGGTTTGTCTTTCCATTATGATGCACTGCCACGATGACGTACATGTACTGTTGACATGTCCAGAAGATTGTCGCCAAAGATCGCTGTACCCTTAGCTCCTCGTCGGTGTAACTTAGACATTGTAGAGGTTCAGTTGAACTAATGAGCGTTGGGGTCAAGTAGTGGCATACCCTGTATGGTTTGACAATGTTTGATGTGAGTCACTGTCCTGATGTATGACAACATTTGATGTGAGCCGCCTTGCTGAATGCTGATGTACCATTTGTTTGCATGTAGATAGAGAACCATCCGTACCTGACCCAGACTGAGCTGGTTGAGTTCTGCCTGAGCAACAACATCCAGGTCACAGCGTACTGCCCACTGGCACGGGCTGGATTTCCCAGGTATCACAATGTGTGTGTGTGTATGTGTGTGTGTGTGTGTGTGTGTGTGTGTGTGTTTGTCTGTGTGTATGCGTGTGTATGTGTTTGTGTGTGTGTGTGTGTGTGTGTGTGTGTGTGTGTGTGTGTGTGTGTGTGTGTGTGTGTGTATGCGTGTGTGTGTGTTGTGTGTGTGAGTTTGTGTGTGTGTGTGTGTATGCGTGTGTGTGTTGTGTGTGTGAGTTTGTGTGTGTGTGTGTGTATGCGTGTGAGTTTGTGTGTGTGTGTGTGTGTGTGCGTGCATGTGCACATGTGTGTCTATGTGTGTGTGCATGCGCGCATGCGTGCCCATATGTGCAGTTTGCAAGCCAGTGTGTGTTTACTTCACCGGTCAGGCTTAGCCCGCTTGAATTTAAAGCTGCAAGCTGTTGTGATTTTGATTCTCATTGCGGTCACTTCCACTAGGTTGACATGCAATCTTTGTACATGAAATCAAGGCAGTTGGTGGTGTACAGCAGATGGTCGCCTTGGACAGATCATTTTCGTGTGCAGCCGTGGGTTCATGTAGAAAGTACTAGAAACAGTTGTTGACAGTAGATGGTTGCCTACAAGTGAGGTCGCTTGCAGAAGATTTGACTGCATTTAATCCTGGAGGGCAGTTGTATAGTATCTTTCCAAACCTTTTTTTTCGAAAATGTATCGTCCTGGAAGAAGGCTTTGTGTGGAAATAGAAGCATAGCTCATCAGAACTTCATCTTTGCACGTATTTGATATGAAATATTTCTGTTTGAACAGGTTATGAGTCCGTTTCTTTTTGGGCTCTGATGTCGGCTGTTGTGGACATGTATTTACTGTATACATGTCAGTAAACTTGTGTGGAAACTTGTCTGTACACAATGGGGATTTTTGCATGATGATTGCACACAGTGCATGAAACTTAGAGTAGCGAAACACTACGAGTGATCCTTTGCTCACTGACATGTGTCATTACTCCATCCAAGTGATTGGATGTTGAGCACTTTTTCTGCACCTGCATACAGAGTCTTACTGAGTGTATATACTCTCTGCTTGTATGTACATCTGCCACTTGCTAGGCCTGACCGACCGGGTAACCTGCTGGAGCACCCCACAGTCTGTAGCATTGCTGCAGCTCACAATGCAACACCAACACAGGTATGTGACACCACACTGCTGCAATACAATCCTATACACTTACCGTACTCACTTGATTAGAAGCCCCTCTCGAATAAAAGCCTCCCTACAAGGACTGTTTGAGAAAATACAAGCCCCTCTCAAATAGAAGCCCGGACTACTATTCGCAAAGCATGGGGTGACCAGGTAGTGCCATGTATGAAGGTCAAGTCTGCAAAAAACATCTCGTGCATGTTCCTATTGGTACAAGTCCTGGTCGATGTAGTGTGTGCAAACTAACTCGGGGCCGAGTTGCTGTGAATATGAACGTTTTAGAGATTTGATTGGAATACCAGTATGGAATGAAACAATAAAAGCCCCTCTCGAATAGAAGCCCCTCTTGAATATAAGCCTCCTCGAAATTGGTATTGAAAAAATAGTAGCCCCCGGCTTCTAATCGAGTGAGTACATAATTATGCTGTGCACCAATTGAATGGTGCTTTGTGCAAACATCAGCAAAAGCTAATCTTTGTCCCTTCAATTCAGTGTAGACCGGCATTTTAGGATAGTCTTCGTTCTACTATATTCCCAACGGTTGTCTTCTGGCCCTGCCCCTTCCACCACCCACCCCACCCCCCCCCCCCCCTCCCCTGCCCTCCCCCAGGTGCTGGTACGGTTTCAGCTGGAGCGTGGTATCACTGTCATACCAAAGTCAGTCACGGCCGAGCGTATAAAGGAGAACATACAGGTGAGCTGCAAGTACCTACAATGTACACTACCAGTCATATAGCCCTGCACTGGGCTGAACTACGATACACGGGGCTGCACTGCACGGCATATCTCTCCCAGTCTTTTTCCAAGCGACCTTATACGTGCGTTTGGATTTTCGAATTTCTCCAAAAACGTGACCACGTGTACGGGGCAAGAACTGTGCCTGTGTGATGGCGCAACCGGCCGTTTTGGAACTTTCACCGTAGACGTAAACGGGAGTCAGGCTGTGATGTGTGGTGCAGGTAGGCCCACGCATCCACAAGACGTGTGACATTTCGCCACTCGGCTCTTCGTGTTTGCCTCGTGTCTGCCACCACAGGTGTTTGCTTTCTCCTTTTCTGACGAGGAAATGAAGTCACTGCATGCTATCAACCTGGACTGGCGAATCGTGCCGAACGAAGGGTAGGCTTACTGCTCTCCCCCCCCTCTTCACTGGTTTGTGTTTTCGTTGCCGGCGTTTTTCTGGTCGTTTCGGTAGGGGTAGGATTGGTTTAAAAACAGTATTAGTTGATGGTATCTCTAACGAGCGGATAGTTGTGTTAGCATGGTCAGTGATGTAGTATTGCGGTCGTCATTGTGTGCTTGACCAACATCTGCTGGTGCATGATCATCGGCCGTTATGAAGAAATGATAATAGAGAGGTTCCGGAGTACGATTTTTCGTGCCAAAATCCGTAGAGGCGCTACGGATTTTTATACGTCGTTTTCGAGCAGTGAAATGTTCCGGAGTACGGAACTGACGTGTTTGCCGCCATTGCCTAGGTTACGATTGCAGACACGTCACATTCCTGCGTTATGCCTTTTTATTTTGAAAAATTGTACCGAAATCAAAACTTCCCGCGGAAAATCGATGTTTCTCGTACCAAATTTGTACGCGAAAAATCTTTCTGCACCCGATGACGCAAAATCTCCATACGAAACATGGTTCGTATGAAAGCCAGTCCACACGGATTCTCCGTGCCGAAAAATCGTATGGAGCCATCCTGAAAAAATCCGTAGCGCCCATACGGATTTTGGCACGGAAAATCGTACCCCGGAACCTCTCTATTAATACTGTATCGCAATCAGGAGGACACGCTGTGTCGACACGTGTTTATCGATGCAGCGTGTCATTCTGATTGCGATTTTCAAATTGTTGTCTCCTCGCCGTTTGATAATACCAGTAACATCTTCATGGAATCGGACGTTAGTACAGGTGGAATTCTGATAATTCGAATATGGCTTAATTCGAACATACCGCTTAATTAGAAGTTTTTCCAGGACCGATTTCTATCAATACGATTCCCAAATAAAAAAAGACATGTCGGTTAATTAGAAGTCCCACAGATTCCACTTTAATACATAGAAAATGTGTGGGATTTGTGCTGATAATTCGAAGTTAGCAAAGTGTAATTCGAAGTTCACTGTACACTGTACTGGTCAGTTCAGTTTGCATGAGCAGGCTGTGCTGGTCAGTTCAGTATCCGTGAAATCTGTGTCTAAGGTCCATAGCGCAACTCTGCGTGACCATGAGAGTATTTTGACATACATATTGAGTTGTGGGTTCATGTTTGGATAATTAGAATGCCCGGATAATTAGAAGTTTTTTCCTGGCATTTTGAGATTCGAATTATCAGGATTTCACCTGTACTGTGCAAACATAACCGTATGTCTGTCGGGGCAGATCTTTCCTTACGCTGGAGTACCTGCGGCTGTTTTTTCTTGTCCGTGCAGTTGTCGTGAGCATCCACTGTTCCCGTTCTCCCTCTAGGCCCGTGTAGTCTGCTGCTTGAACTTCAGAATGTTTAGAAACCGTGTCCGGGCAAATGGCATGGGATGAACACCGAGCTGGACTCGCCGTCCTATTTGCCACCGACACCGAAAACGATAGGATACTAATTATTATTATAGTCTTCGCTAGCATATTGCTGCATTGCATCAGTGCTACTGCCGCTGCTGGAGCTGTTGCTGTTTCCCATTAAGTGTCTTGCTATTGAGATCACTGGATGTCAGTCTGTCATGAATTCTGTGCTAAACTGCTGGCGTGTTAGGCAAGCATGGTGAAAATGTACTGAAGAAAATATTTCCCCTTCTCCGCTATGTTGTTCACACGGCCCTGGAAGCTTCCTGACCTTACCGTACGGTCTGTGGCATTTTACGAAATTGATTGTAGCCAATGCTGTATTGAGTATGAAGTATTGGTTAGTTTTACACTAGGTGCTGCAACCGATTTCTTATTTATTCCAGATTTCTAATTCTTCTGCTGCTGCTGGTGTTTTTTTGTATGTTTTAGTTCCAAGTTTGTTGTCAGTGGCTTTTGTACTTATAGTCTTGCACGGCTATCAGTGCATCTGGTGTCCATGTGCAGAATACCTGTTATGCAGAGGATAGGGATGAGAATACCTGTCATGCAGAGGATAGGGATGCCGTGTAACCCATCACCAGTAGGGAAATTTTGTTTCTTGCTGTTTCCATGCACATACGTGTTCATGCGTGTGATTTCCCCTGGCCCATTTACAGTGCATGCTGATCAATGATATCCGGTCGTGCGAATCAATGTTGCGCCCTGCTCTGTGCTGCACCAGTTGACAGGTCTAGGGTTGCACCGTGCCCGGCGCATACTTGACTCACTCGATCGGATGTCATTGAGCAGTAGCACTGACTGCACATTCGTTGTTTTCCTCACCAGATAAAAATGGTCTGCATGTTTCACACTAGAGGGTGCCTATCGCTTACGAACATGTCATTTCGGAGCCTCTCCATGTGTGCAAACTGTGAAATTGGAGCAAATGCAGTGATAAATTCAGTCCTGAAATTGGTCACCGCTAAAGTTGGCGACAAACTTCGCACCTCGGCGGAATATAATTATTGTGGTGAGGTTTTAGCGCTGCACCGGAGGTGATAAAGTATCACAGCAATGTGATAAAGTTAGCACCAATTTCAGTGCTAAAATTCATAGTTAACCCTCATGCCACACAAGAGAGACGAGCCTGTGGGGTGTCGCAAGCGTTTATTCCAGCATGAATAATCATGAGCCTGTGATCGGTAATCAAGTATGACGTCCATGTACTCAGTATGAGGTCATGATTATAAATGATGTACACATATCACGCATCAGAGAGGCAAGGACAGCAGAAGCGACCCGCGGGGTCCTGCGCCGTCGGAACGGCTACGTGTACTACTAGGTTGCTATGGCAGCGGAACACTAAATCTTAGTACACATGAATAGTTCAATGGTGCCGATGTGCGTGCACTCTGCGGCGCCCATTGGCAGCACCCGTGCCTCCAATAAAGGTACCGAGTGGCTTGCGACACGCAGGCTCTAGTAGTGCTGTGGCATGCCTGCGGGCCTGCGAATGTACGTGCGATATGCCCCGCTGGACCAGCGGCCTGCAGCCATCAGGGCATACTCCGGTGCGCCTCGATCCGCCATGTGTGTGGCTCCCCCGGCGCGTAAGGAATGGCTGCTGATGCTTGGACCTAGCACTTTGTGTAGGACAGCATTGATGTCGTTCGGCGTGAGCTGGCGACCACCCTGAAACTTGAATAGGGGTTGCTTGTCATTGCTCCATTTGCTGGACCGAACGTAAGCCTGCAGGGCTCGGACGGGACATAGTGCGGGGTCGGCGTAGCGATGCAGCGCTACCTCCCCGCCTGTTGTTAATTGAGACGTCTTCGTCCTCTGGAGCTGCAGAGAGGCCTCCTGCTGGGCTAGCCGGAGGTGTTCGCGCCTCAGTGTCTTGAGGCCGCCGGGACCGTATGGTGACGGCGACGTGTACTCACTCACACGCAGCAGGCCGTGGAAGGCTGTCGTCAGAGCAGCCCATAGCATTAGTCTGTCTGCCGGGGAGTACAAGGTCCGATCCAAGAACTGGCGGAGAGCCTTCAACTGGTGGACGGTGATCGCTTGGCGCTGAGGGCGTGCTGACGGATGCCTGGGAAGTGACGCTCTCTCCCTCTCCAAGCCCTTGAGCAGGGCTGTGATGCGGTTAGAGGATGTAACCCCGACCGGGCCTCCCATGCGGAGGAGGTGGTATTTGATCGCGGCCAGGTAGACTCTCAGAGTGCTGGCGCTGACTGAGTGAGACATTGCGGCAGCGAACAGCAGGACGTCGTTCTGATCTGGGTGATGTGCGTCGCGGCGCATGCGACCCATGAACTCCAAGAATGCACGCCAGCCTGGGGCGTACGTGCGCTGTGTGCCAGTGGCTACTGAGTTGGCAATCAGGTGCTCTGCTCGCGCTGAGAGAGCGGCGGCTAGCGAGCCTAGGAGGACACAGGCACAAGCGCATGCAACACAAACGCACACACGCATACGACCGCACACGAGCATGTTCCCTAAACAGGCAGGGTGGCACGGCGGCCAAGCTGCGGTGTATGCGTGCTGCGCCGGGTCGCCGAACAGCGGCCCGCTTCCCGGAACGCACTGGCCCGGCGGCATGGCTGCGGATTGTAAGCAGGGGACCCGTGGGTTATGCTAGTGGAAGATCTCCCCCCTGACCTCGGCGGGGCGTTCCGGTACTGGTTTGGCCGAGGTTCGCCCCCATGCTGTGGGGCTAATGCAAATACGAAACGAGAGCCCCCTCCCCCAGCCCCGCGGGGTGGGAGCCTCTGCTATTGGCCTAACCCATAGGTACTTAGCCTTGCGGGTGGACGCATGGGGGTGGCACGTAAGCGTTGGCTTGCGTAGCCGTGGCTTGCGGCGGTAAACGATCCTCCGGCGGGAGGTGGACATCCGGCGGGATGTTATGCAAGCGGGGCTGGCGACCCTGGACAGACACACAGAACAACGGACAGCGGGCGGCGCAGCCTTGGTTCGGCAGAGCCGCAGCTTGCAGCGGCAGTGTCTGTAAGCAATTCTCCGGCGGGAGTTATATGTTCGGCGGGATGTAATCCGAGCGGGGCTAGCGACCCTGGATAGGCACACAGAACAATACTAAAAGACAGCGGGCGGCGAAGCGTTGGCTCGCGGAGCCGTTGCTTGCGGCGGTGGTGTCTGTAGGCGATCCTCCGGCGGGAGGTGGACATCCGGCGGGATGTTATGCGCGCGGCTTGCGAGCCTGGATATACACGCAGAGCACAAGACAGCGAGTAGGTCAGGCTCACGGAGCCGTGCCCCTAGTATACAGGCAAACCTACACCTGCTAGGTAGGCTTAACGCCCTCTACAATTTGCCTCGGTAGCATGGCAACACGGTGCATGGCCCATATTTTGTTTGTGCCATGCGGGCCACACGTATAGCGTACATATGGAGCGCCCCCGAGTACCGCGGTCGCCGGCTCGGGGCCTGCGGGGTGTCGGCCCCCCCCCCTTCCTCCCAAAAAGAAAAAGGGGGGGTTCTAAGGGGCCGGATAAGCCCATTAAGCACACAGAGTGGTAAGATAGACCAAGAAGGGTTCGCCCCGGCGAGGGCATGGATCATTGCCAGCGGAAATTGTAGGTGGGTTAGTAGAGTAGGGTAAACAAAACAACAAGAAAAGAGCAGAGATGCGAGATGCTGGGCTGGGGGGACTACGGACGTACGGCGAGCCCGCGCAGTGGTAGCTGGGATTGCTGGGAGCTTGAATTGGCGGCTGGGGCGCCTGGCCAGCTGCAGACGGATGCGACTATCTGTTGTCGGATTGGGCACTGGCGAGTGACGATGGGGCAGTCTCCGCGTCGGGAACCAGACGGCGGAAGCGCTGGAACTGGGCCCGGGAGAGTGCGTCTGCGATGCTGTTGTCGACGCCGGCGATGTGACGGACGAGCAGGCAGAAGTTGTGGCGAGCGGTGAGTTGCATGGTGCTGCGTATCAGTGCCATGACCCCGGCGTGTCGGCATGTGCCGGACTCCCAGGCGGTGCACACTGCTGAATTATCGCAGTGCAGGAGGATCTTCTTCTGTGCCCAGTGGGGGCCCCAGAGTTGGCAGGCGATGGCGATGGGCCACATCTCTCTCCACATTATGGACGTGTACGGTGGGGCCTGCTGCGCCGCTGACCATGTGCCCGCGAACCAACGACCCTGGTAAAAGCCGCCGAAACCGCTGCCAGACGCGTCGGTGAACAATTCCAGGTCCGGGGACTTTGACCATACGGGGTCGCGTAGGAGGGCCTTTCCGTTCCATAGTGGGAGGAAATCCTGCCACCATTTGATGTCGGCGAGAGCCTCGCTGGTGAGGCGGACGTCCGCGGCAGGGCTGGTGACTGAGGAACACAGGTCGATGAGGCGGCGAGTGAACGTACGACCGGCTGGCACGACCTTGGCGGCGAACGCCAGGTGGCCAACGAGGGACTGGAGTTCGTGTTTGGACGCTGATGGCCGGGTGGCCCAGGCTGCTAGGAGTTGCCGCAATGTACGGAGCTTATCGGCTGGGAGCCGCAGCTCCCCTGCCGCTGAATCAATGTCGATGCCAAGCACTGTGAGGCAGGTGGCGGGGCCAACAACTTTGTCCGGGCCGTCTGCTGTTGGGACACCCAGTTTTGCGAAGACCTGCAGAATAGTGGCTTTGTGGGTCGCGGCCGCAGAGGACGTGACAGACTCGGCTGCTGGAGACACTGATACGAAGTCATCCAAATAGTGCTCCAGTGCAGGGATACTGTAGTTATTACGGAGGATCCATTCTAGGGCGGTAGCCAGGCAGTTAAACAGACTGGGAGCGGAGCGTAGGCCAAATGGCAGGACAGTGTCGAAATAGTAGTTGCCCTTCCATAACATGCCGAGGAGCGGCCAGTCGTCAGGGTGCACGGGGCAGAGTCGGAAAGCGTGCTTCAGGTCCACCTTTGACAGGAGGGCTCCGGGGCCCGTCCTGCGCACGTGGTCTGCTATCGTGTCAATCGTAATTAGGGAGAAACGATAGGCCTGCTTGTCAATGAACGAATTGACGCTGTTCCCATCGGGGGCGGACAGGTGCATGATGAGCCGGTGGCCGCCCGACTTCTTGGGGACCACACCTACGCCAGAGGTGCGCAGATGGACGAATGGCGGCGCGTTGAAGGGGCCAGCGGTGTGGCCGCGACTGCATTCCGTGGCCAGGTACTGGTCGACGACCTCGGGGTGTGCTGCCGCTGAAGACAAGTTCGGGCTGCGTACGGACACATCACGGGGTCCGGTGAACCCAATACGACAGCCGGCACGTAAATTGCTAATTAGAGAATGAACAAATGCAGGATTAGGGTGCGCCAGCAATTCAGTGTGTAATGCATCAATATTGATAGGGGTGTTGGGGTGTAATGCAGCAATGTTCATAGGGGTGTTAGGGGGTGGGTGAATGCAAGAAAGTGGTGCCGGGGCTGATTGCTGTTCGTTCTTATTTCTTGGCTGGACAGGCTGACACGGCGTGCGAGCCTGAGCAGAAGAGGCAGGCGTGTCGAAAGCGACATGGGCCGCTGCAGGCGCCGTGATTGTAACGGCGGCAGATTTCGGTTGATTTAGTGCTTGCACTCTCTTTCGCCTGCTTGCCGCGAAAGGCCGAGGTGCACGCTCCGGCCAAGTGCCCCACCTTCTTGCAAATGCTGCAATTGGGAAGGGCCTGACCCGTGAAACACGTCGCGAAAAGCTCCGTGTCGAGCTCCGCCAGGGATCGGCTTGGGTCCTTTGACAGGGCCTGGCGTGCCCGCGTGTCGTAGTCCACGACTGCCGAGAAGCGGTACTTCCCGGCTGCCTGTACCATGCGTATTTGGTGCTGCATCAGTGCAGCGGCGCAGCGAGGTTGATCGCGGATGGCGATCAGGCTAAAAATAGACCATGCCTCGGTCCACGTGGCAAGGTTCTCAATTTTCCCTTTCGGTGCGCTTGTCACCGAAAGTGCCCCTTCCTCGTCTATGCGGAACCTCTTAGGGGCTGGCTCCCCGGTAGAAATAGATTTGGGCGGGAGCAGTATTGCCAGATCTATATACTCGACTCGTCTGATCCGATCCACTGTCTCCAACGAGACGTGCGAAATGCAGGAGGGGTAACCCATGTTCGTATGGTGCATTAATTGATCAGCACACATACCGCCTTCTTGGTGCTCCGTGACGTTCTCCGGTGCGTTGCCACTGAGGGCTGCTGCCACGCTGGCTGCCACGATCTGCTGGATAGACTCCATTTGTGAATCCGAGAAAGCCATGGTGGGTGTAAAGACTATCGCGGAGAGCGGAAGCTTAGAAGAAGACAATTTCAAATTAAAACAATTTCTGCGGCGGGCAGGCACAACAAACAACTGGTGAATGTCTTTACTTGTTCCTGCCTTGCGAGGGTGGCCTTGGGTGAGCTTGCACCCAAGGCTGATAGGTGGCTTATACGTCATGCCGTACGCGCGTCGCGGTTGCAAATGCTTGCGTGGGGCCCCACGCGGGAGCCCGGCAGTGCGTACGACTTTAGCGGAGCTCGTATGAGACTTAGCCGGTTTTGGCGTGTCCGCGGACGGCATCTCCATGCGGGAGATGCGGCTCTGTGACATGTAGGTTAACTACGCGTATACGGTTTGCGCAACGCAAACCAACATTTATTAATAAGAATTAATAATTATTCGATACAAATTGAATTTTTTTCAATTTGTATCGAAAAATTTAGCGCTGGATTTAGCGCTGATTTCAGCGCCAAAGTCAGCGCTGAATTAAGAATTTTTTAAGTCAGAAATTTAAGCATTGAACTTTGTCCTTCTGTTATCACCTGAGGTGCATAGTTCATTGTGCCCTGAAGCACCTTGCAACGCAAACACACGCATCGGCACCAAAATACATGTTCATAACATTTCGGAGTTTTAGCGCAAAGATATGTGCTGGAGACAGCACTGGAAGAGCTAGGGCAACAATGTACCGATATATCGAAGACGAGGCGAGTGCCAATGTGTGGCCTACGAGACAAGATAAAGAAGACAGAATGAATGCCAAACGTAAATAAAAAACGGAGGAAACACCATTATTGGAGACCGAATATAAATCAGAGTAATAAAGTATGATATAGAATATTTGAAAAAAGACCCTGTTGTGGACAAGGGTGTCAAAAAACAACAACACGAAAGTAGTGACTGCCAGGCAACATGACATAGCATGCTGTGTGGTTTCTACGTCAACTTCAGCTCCATTTGAACAGGGTTGATATAAACCAGACTCAGAAAGGAAATAAACAAAAAAGCACAATGATTCGAATAGAGGTGACACACACACACACACACACACACACACCGATTCGATTTGGCTCCGTAGACACCTATGGGAACCTTCCAAACAGGTGGAAGTGGACTGGAAAAAAGAGAGATAAAAGAGCGGGACTAAAAAACAGGCGCGCGTGCTCACTCTGCTCACGAGAGACACCAGCGCGGGAAACTGACAGAGTGAACACGGAAAATATAACTGGGAACAGAGAATATCTACATGACATGCAGGTAAGACGGTGGACAAGATGAGAGTGAGACGAATCATAGTAGCTACGACTGATGGCTATTACTCGGGATACAATATGCTCCTCATGTCACAAGAACAGCGATCATGGTCGGCCCAGTACACCAATGCCGATCTCATCTACATTTGCAGCAAGTGCCTAGAGTGAGGAATCTTTGGGGCTGAAGCCAGAGTCCTCGCTGTCTCGATCAGTAAGGTTAGGCGAAGGTGTGTCCTCAGAAGAAATCTTGATTGGTATTGTCGGCTGCAATAGAACAAAGTCAACAATATCACAGCTGAGTCAGACGGAGAGAGAGAGAGAGAGAGAGAGAGAGAGAGAGAGAGAGAGAGAGAGAGAGAGAGAGAGAGAGAGAGAGAGAGAGAGAGAGAGAGAGAGAGGGAGAGAGAGAGGGAGAGAGAGAGAGAGAGAGAGAGAGAGAGCGAGAGAGAGAGAGCGAGAGGGAGAGGGAGAGGGAGAGGGAGAGAGAGAGAGAGAGAGAGAGAGAGAGAGAGAGAGAGAGAGAGAGAGAGAGAGAGAGAGAGAGAGAGAGAGAGAGAGAGAGAGAGAGAGAGAGAGAGAGAGAGAGAAGAAGAAGAAGACAGAAAGAGAGAAAGAAAGAGAGGGAACAGGTACAAAAAAAAGGATAGGTGAACAGGTAAACAGACTGCCTGGGCTTTCTATGTGTTCAGGTTGATAAATGCTTGACAGTACACATCTCACACGTTAGCACTTCATGCAGTTGGAAATTAATTGCACCTCTGTGCTTTTCACATGCCAGAAGCATACGCATTATGCAGGCACACAGCAGTGGCGGCAGTATGCACATGCTCAGCTAGCTGCAGACCAGTCACTGCTGGCAGCACATGACATATACCAAGAGTGGCACACAAACAGCCACGCAAACAGTCATACAAATACATGTACTCTTGCAAATAGCCATGCAAACAGCACGCCTTACCTCTATTTCCGAATCGATAGACGGCACACGCGTGCGCCGCATCAACTCCATGTACTGGTCCTGCAACACCCGGTGCTTCTTGGCGAGGCTTGCCATGCGCTGCTCAAGCTGTGTAACACACCCCAGAGCACAGTGCACATGACGATTGTGTATGGCTGGCACGCCAGACCTCTCCAGGAGTAGTGGGCACCTGCATGCACATCCTACTGAAGTACTCCTACTCAGGGACCGTCAGGGGTTACCGATTGTTTTTACAAAACGAAAAGTTTTAATATTTTTCAGCCCCTACCCACCCACCCACCTTTTGTGCAGGTAAAACGAATTCCAATAAAATATTGACGTCAATTTTCGACACCCAAAAGTAACTGGGCATTCTCCATCTGCATTCAATAATTATTTTCAAAACGAAACTCATTCAAACCCACCCACCCCCAAACGAAATCTTTTCGTTTTGAAAATATTACAAGTATTGGTAACCTTGGACGGCCCCTTAGTGAAAATGCAAGTGTAGTGAAACTTCACTACACTGCCGAGTAGGGCTAGAATAACCAAGCCAGCCATTATTAGATCACACTTACAAGGAGGACACACTTCAGGGTCCTCAACATTAACATTTCGAAAGGTACGAGTATACTTTCAAGCTTTCCCACTCAATATAAGCGGTACGTGACTAGGATGGCATACACAGGGTCATCACCTCAATATTTTTCGGAACTTGATACAGTGCGGGCAGCTGAAATCCGACTCCTGATTTCCGTGCTCGAGCGCAGCACCGACTCTAGCGGTCTCTATCCCGTAGTGCTACATGCGCGTGCTGGGTCTTGGCAATGTGAGCGCACCGCTCCAGGGGTCGGATTTCAGTTGTCAGCACAGTACATGTAAGAAGACTATTGGCTCAATGCAGCTGCAGCGTACACAAAGGCTTGGCTCCATGCAGCTACAGCGTACACAAAGGGTTGGCTCCATGCAGCTGCAGCGTACACAAAGGGTGGCTTGCCTAAGTTACTGACAACCACTCTATCCAGTTGCTAGCCACTGAGCAAGAAACAACAGACTTTTTGTGTAGAGCGGTTGTCAGTTGACAAGCCACCCATTGTTAGATACATGTTCTACATTATACAGTCAGACATCGCTTAAAGGGGAAGTCCGGTGAAAAATTTAAATTTCAGGGTCGGTAGAGTTACGGGCGCTGAGTCGAATGGTGTTGGTCCCACGTGTCTCCGACAAAGCGTTCTCGAGATATTTCCGTTTGAAAAACTGAGTTTCGGGGGCTGCGCCATGACGTCATGCGGCCGCGCCACACCCTCTGCAACGTCATAGCGTGCAGCTGGTCAAAAGGAGTGCGTGAAAGCAATAGTGTCAGTGCTATTTCAAATGATTTGGCGACTGATAGTTTGGTGCAAGCGACCCCGAAGACCTGTAACTCCTTGTGAGAGTGAGGATGCAGCCATGGCTGACCTTCATGAGTTCGGTCTGGGGCTGAGAACCTCGGTATTCAGCTGAAGAAATGGCCACGCGGGCCGGTCAAGAGTGAGCGCTACTGAGTTTCCGACTGATGAAGAAGCAGCAGCTATTGCAGACGAGGCTGATCAGATCGTTGGAGAGCAGGGTCGCCAAAATGGAGAAGAGTGATGCGAGTGCTCTAAATATTGTTCCATACCGATTAGATTCGCTTAGACTCCAGTAGCCTGCCACATGGTGATGTTTTGGTGCGAACTTGGAATATTTCGGACTACTCAATTGGAGAACAGTGCAGGCTCTTTGAACCACGGGCACGACTCTTCGCTCGCAACGCTATGGAATCTGAAAGTTCTAGGTCCGGGAGCTGTTCGCTGTTTTGTCACTTGTCACGGTTGTGCACTCATCGCTGTAACATAAAAATAATGAGGCGGGTGCGGAAAACTAAAATTTTCTTTCTCAAAGCACAACCACCGGCACCGGCAAGGAGAAACGCACGTTCTCTGACTACATGACTGTACAATACGACTGATACGAGTGTAGTACATGACAAGTCCGTGTGTTGACTAGTTTTCTGAGTCTTGTGTCAGTTGTGACTCGAGTCTTGTACATACTACCCCAGCACGGCAGTGCGGGAGTAGTTCCGTCTGTGATGAGTTTGTTGACTGCACTACAGCTAGATAACACACTGCACGCACTACATGCACGCAGCGCAGAGCGCGTAGAGGCTGACGGAAAAGTCCAACTCGGAAACGGCTATAATACGGTATAACCTCCAGGTTTACCGAGCTGAAAATCACAGGGTACGTAGTGTTTGTAACGCTGAATCGAATGGTCTTGGTCCGAAGAAGCTGCGACAAACGGTTCCCCAATCGAACGCGCTCCGAATATGGCCATTTTTGTACACAACTAGATGGTGTGGCTACCTGGCTGTGACGTCATCACCTGGATCTGGGTGATGCGCGCTCAAATTCACACATGTTCGATTGGGCGTATCTGACGAACCATAAACCGCAGCCTCCTCGGACAAAGACCATTCGACTCAGCGACCCGAACTCTACGGACTGTGAAATTTAAATTTTTCACCGGACTTCCCTTTTAACCGGTCCTCTTTAACCCGGATCCCTCGCCATTGGGAAAAAGTAGCTGATTACAGATTTACAGCATACGAAATGCATCCAACATAACCGGTGTTCGATTATCCGGTTCCTTCGCCTATCCGGATATTTTTGTGGAAACCGGATTTGTGCAGTTTAAAAAGTGAGGTCTGACTGTACACAGTACTATCTCAACCATAGAAACAGTTGTACATGAGAAATGAGAGTGGTCTAGGCTACACCTGTGCACCTAGGCTACACCTGTGCACCTAGGCTACACCTGTGCACCCCCATTCTTCAGCAGCAGACAGTAGCGTAGTCCGCCGGCGCGGCCAGTCCTTACCTCATCCATGTCCAGTCTTATCTCGATCTTGCTCTTGATCAACCCTTCAGATTCCTCCTGCAGCCGCACATTCTTCTCTCGCAGCGAACGGTTGGTGGTCTGTAGCTGATCCACTGTCACCTACACACAGAGAGAAACGAGAGAGACGAGAGACACTCTGGTCAGGTAAACATATTCATGAGTCTCATTGCCACCCAACACCAGGCACATCCGTGCGCAGAGCAAAGAACATAGCGCTCTCGACAAATCATCTCATCTACTGTACGTACAAGAACAATGATAGCAAATCAAGCAATGCCATGTCACGACAAACTTAGCACTAACCACGCCTAAGAAAGAAAGTACACTCAACTGGACCAAAGCCAAATACACACTATCCCCCTTCGCACGCACCCACACACAGAGGACAGTGGGATCTATTTGGCTGTAACATGAAGCATGAAGCAAGCAAGCAAGCAAGCAAGCAAACATCAGGCAGCTAACCGCTACCAAGTCTCATTACACACGGGTGTCAAGTGAAAAACTCTACCTGCAGCCTCTCGATCTGCTGCTGCTCAAACGTCTCCGTGAGCACCTTGACGTCATACTCCTTGGCATACTTGGCCATCTTACGCGGCGAGATCTGGACAGAGCAGCAAAGGAACAAGGATGCAACAAGGATACAGCAAGGATGCAGACAATGTACACGTATTGCCACCAATCAGTGAACGATCACACAGAAAACAGAAAACAGAAAACAGGCTACGCTCAAACAAGTACAGTAAAACCCGTCAAGGAGACCACTCCAAGGAGACCACTCCAAGGACACCACTCCAAGGAGACCACTCCAAGGACACCACTCCAAGGAGACCACTCCAAGGAGACCACTCCAAGGAGACCACTCCAAGGAGACCACTCCAAGGAGACCACTCCAAGGAGACCACTCCAAGGAGACCACTCCAAGGAGACCACTCCAAGGAGACCACTCCAAGGAGACCACTCCAAGGAGACCACTCCAAGGAGACCACTCCAAGGAGACCACTCCAAGGAGACCACTCCAAGGAGACCACTCCAAGGAGACCACTCCAAGGAGACCACTCCAAGGAGACCACTCCAAGGAGACCACTCTAAGGAGACCACTCTGATAAGGCAAATCCCAGGTCTACGAGCACGTTTGAAACAAGATTGTACACAGTTGAGTGACTGCAGCATCATTCTTGCGCACACACGCACACACACGCGCGCGCGCGCGCGCAAACACATGCACACCATACCTTGATACTAGCTGATGTCTCTAGGACAGTGCTGACTTGGTCAGGATTCAGGTAGTTCTTAGGTAAGTGACGGAAGTAGTCCAGAATGCCATCAAACTCAAGCTGCTGAAGGTTACGCCGATTCAGCTACAGAGCAAGCAAGTAAACAGACATATACACCAGTGGTTTACTGGACGTTGAGTTGTCCACCCCCAATCATAAATTAATTAATAGGAAGTGTTGAATCGCGTTGAATCGTGGATGGAATTCTAAAATCTATAAAGGGCACACCTGGTCATTATAACCGACTCATAAGCCATACCTTCAAGAGTGCGATGGCCATCTGGAATATCGTCTCCAAACCCTGCGAAAGACAAGGTCAAGAAGATAGATAACACACAACCAAAGGACATGGCTCAGATATTACTACAGTTTCTAAAAAGAAAAGAGGGAAACAAAGCAGATATATTGCAAAATGCAAAACAACTCGCAGCATTCAAAGACACTTCAAAGAACAGCAACATGCTTGCGTAGAGCATAACACACACATATGCAGCCACAGACATATGCAGCCACAGACATACGCAGCCACAGACATACACAGCCACAGACATATGCAGCGACAAACATATGCAGCCACAGACACATGCAGACACAGACATAATTATGCAGACACAGACATATGCAGCCACAGACACCCACACACACACACAGCACACACCACACTTGCACACCTACACACATGTAAACAAAAACAAAACAAAAACACCCACCCACGAACCACATATACGATTACGTTAGTCACATAAACTTTAAAAAG